ATATGATATCTTAGCCACCTATTTTGTTGGAAGCTCATCGTTGAGGTGTGATCTGTCTCCTGCTCATTGGCTGTAGGTACTATCCAAAAAAACGACTTGGGCGGCGGGCGACATACGCTGGGACATGACGCATGCGCAAACCCGCGACCGCGACTCGTGCTGTGGTGACAGCGGCAGGCGCTGTGCTGCCGACATCTTGCCGACCGAGTAACAATGATATGATATGATATAATGAATGATAGCGTCATTATATTGATACTGCGCGTGTGCGGCGTACGGTGCGCACCATACGGGAAAGACCAAGAAGCCGACTACAAAAATTAAGAACGAACGAAAAATGAAAATAAACAAAAGGTAAAAATTTAAAAGCAAAAATTAAAAAATTAAAAGCAAAGGTAAAAATTTAAAAGCAATTTACTAGTATCAGTCAGAAGTGTGTGCAACACACCCATAACAAAATATTTCTTAATGATCACAGCAATAATCTGTAATGAGAACGTGTGCAGCTTAATAAATGGAGTGTACCTGTTAAAGTTTTAACTAATAATTTTGTTCAGAAGTAGTTGTGGCACAGTGTTCTAACCTATCATCGGGTCGGTGACCTATCAGTACTAATAATAATAAAACTTCTCACCATGGAAGACTTTGAGCTTGAAGGTACAGTCATTGTTAAGTATTATCATCAGACCCGTTATATCACTTCTCCAGTTCCCATGTTGATATAGAGATCGCACTGTCAGCCGTCGAGGAGTTCCCTTAGCTATGGTACTACTTCATCATCAAGCCCTACTGAATATCACTATACTACATACTGGACAACAACTCGGCTTCATCAGGTCCACTCCAGACCTTCATCAAATTGTAGTGCTCAATACTTACTTACTTACTAATATTATAAATCGGAAAGTGAGTTTGTTTGTTTGTTTGTTTGTTCCACTTTCACGCCGTAACTACTAAACCGATTGCTTTGAATTTTTGCAGATGTGAACTTAGAAGTCTGGATTAAATAATAGGGTACTTATTATCCCGGAAAAATTTGATATTCTCGAGGGAAAACGAAATTATATAGATAGATGGCGCTGTGTGTATTGGTATATGTCACATAGGCTAATTTTTATCCTTTTGTGACGTGAGCGAAGCTGAGGGTAAAATCTAGTACTTAATAAAAAAGTATCTACTACAACCACATAAACCAGTGACCCCTACCAACAATTCTTTAAATTGCCCTGGGTATCATCGTCATCACCATCTCAGAACAACATGTGATTTTTTTACATAAAACATAACATCACGCCTTTTATCCCCGAAGGGGTAGGCAGAAGTGCACATTATGCCACTGTACAATGTAACACCCACTTTTCACTATTTATGTTATGAGTCCATGTAATAGGGGGTGAGCCTATTGCCATATACCGGGCACAATTCCAGACTACTACTGAGAAATTTTTAAAAACCCAGTAATACTTTGCCCGACCCGGGAATTGAACCCGAGACCCCTTGCCGGCAGTCGCACTTGCGATCACTCGGCCAACGAGGCAGCAGTGATTTTTTTAATTATCATCAAAGTAGGTCCATTCTTGATATTGAATTTGTACCTACTTTGATATTATATTTATAGATACTTACCTCGAAATGTTGGTTGTAATAGATTCCATAGATGTCGCTAGCCGTGCTGTGGACGTGCCCCAAGGCTGGACGCCGGAACTCCATACTGGGATAACATAATGGCTCCGTACAATGTGGTCGTTGTGTGTGTGGCGGTTCATTGTGCTACATTGTCCATTTGTGAGTGAGTATTGCAAGTAGTTTCTCGCATTTGAATCGAGTTGTTGTCTAGTCTGGAGATTTACGTCAGGTAAGGAGACTTCATGGCTGGTGAATTATTGACAAAACATTGTTTGAGAATTGTAATATCGCGGAGTGTCATAACTTCGCAAGCAATTTAGAAGTAACCAGTGGCCGGTCCTCGGTCCTCGGTGCTCGGTGCTCGCAGTACACTCGTACAGTACATAGCTACCTGTGTACTGTACTGTATCCTACGTAGCAGTATATTATATACTAGCTTTTACCCGCGGCTTCGCTCGCGTCACAAAAGGATAAAAAGTAGCCTATGTGACTGTCCATCCGTTCAACTACCTTCAGTTAAAAAATCACGTTAATTAGTACCTCCGTTCTGCCGTTTAAGACAGGCAAACAAACAAATAACTTTCCGCTCGCGTGGAATTCGGTTATATTGCGCTATTTACATTTTTCCAATAAGTAGGTAATTCGTTGACTGGTTTTAAGTGACATACAACGCCATCTATACCAGTACATACAGCGCCATCTATACCAATATTTTTGTTTTTCCTAGGAAATATCATTTTTTTCCGGGATAAAAAGTACCCTATTATTTAATCCAGACTTCTAACTTTAGGTACGTCTGCAAAATTTCAAAACAATCGGTCTAGTAGTTACGGCGTGAAGGCGGAACAAACAAACAAACAAACAAACTCACTTTCCGATTTATAATATAAGTAAGGATATGTATAGTCAGCTGAGTTACTTGGTATGCAATGCAGGAACAAAATAAATATTGCTTTAATTATGTATGTATTTATTTATTTATTTACAACAGCTAGGTATACGATTTGATTAAATAAACTCGTCAAAAAAAACCAAAAACTAATAACAAACAAAAAGTCAAAACTAAAAAGCTTACCCACCCACTGATAGGTAAGAAGTCGGTGCCATAAGTTCCATACAAAATTATTCATTAAAACCTTAATAGGTACCTTATTCACAATTTTGTGGACATTAAGTTATATCATTATGATATGAGCTTATGGCACCGACTTCTAACCTAGTTATCAGTGGGTGGGTAACCTATCAGTACTAATAATAGTTATTTTTTTGCTTTTTAGTTTTGACTTTTTGTTTGTTATTAGTTTTTGGTTTTTTGAAGTCGGTTTTTTAAACGCAGTTTTTATTTTATTATTTTATCATTTTCAGTGTAAAGCTACATATACCCGTTTTGTTACTTATAATATACATAGGTGCAAAGTTCTAATCAATACAAATTATACAAGTACAAACACAAGGTAGTTACAGTATTCCGTTGAGGAGTTCCCTTAACAATTACACTTCTTCATCATCAGACCCTTAATGACAGCCCCACTCTATCTAGGTGTAAAGTCCTCATCAATACAAATTAATCAAGCCCAAACACAAGGTAGTTAATATAAACCGCTGAGGAGTTCCCTCGACTGTCTGTCGACTCCATCATCAGGTCGACTCCAGACCCTTATCAAATTGTAGTGTTTAATAATCGTAATCGAAAAACATAATAGACGCATTACTCTCCCATAGAATTTTCGAAAGTTCCCCTCGGTTTCCCTAGGATCCCATCATCAGATCCTGACCTCATAGAAATGGGACCATCTCGGGAGTATACCCTTTCAAACAAAACAAGAATTTTCGAAATCAGTTCACAAATGGCGGAGTACTGCGCGAACAAACAAAAAAAAAACAATCAGCCGAACATAGTACCTCCACTTTTTTTTGAAGTCGGTAAAAAGTATGACGGGGGAAGCGGTTCGGTATCGCTCATTGTGGGCCTCCGTGGACAGTGTTAGCACGAGAATTACACAAGGCTTCGTTTTTGCAATCGTTTTAATGTAGGTACAATCAAATAGAAATTACACAGCAGATGGAACGCGTGATAGTTTTAGTGTCGTCCGCACGGGGTGAACTCCAACCAAAAAGTGCTGCGCTAGCGGCCGCTGCCGCTGCCCCGGTCCACTGGCAATCCCCCACCCCGGTGCATTCCAACACTAACTCCATCGAACGCCACTAGATGGCGCTGGCGTCCCAAAGCTGTTTCCTGATATTGCCGACAAGTATATATACGATCGAATTGAGAACCTCCTCCTATTTTTGAAGTCGGTTAAAAATGAATTCTACCTCGTGGGCTCAAAGTCAGTGAAGTCGCAAGTGCGACTGCCGGGCAAGGAGGCTCGGGTTCGATCTCGATCCCCCAGTGGGGTAAAGTATTACTGGGTTTGTTTTTAAATCTCAGTGGTATCATGGAATTTAGGATTGTGCCTGGTATATGGCAATAGGCTCACCCCCAATTACATGAAATTCATAACATAAATAGTGATAAAAGAGCTCGTCAAACCAAAATGAGAACCTCCTCCTTTTTTGAAGTCGGTTAAAAAATGAGCCCAAACTCGGGGGGGTTCCAATATTTAATCTTCCACCTCCTGTCTCCATCATCAGGTCAATCATCAGACCCTCGTCACTCAGTGTAATGTATGGAACTCATCCAAAGAAACGCAATCAGTCAAAATTGGAGGTTGGATGCCATAGAAACAGGGTTTGTATGGTGTATCTTCGAAGTGGAAGACCAGATCATGAGCAAAATTTTATGGGATTAATTTCCAAGTATACTCTTTAAAACAAAAAAAGAATTTTGCAAATCGCTTCACGCATCTCAGAGTTACACATATATACATACACACACATACGTTCATACAAACAAAAAAAAAGCAACATACCGGCCGAACGTATAACCTCCTCCTTTTTTGAAGGCGGTTGAAAATAAATGGGTTTAGTCTTACGTTCTGGTTATTTTGGTGCAATTTTCCCAAAAAGTGTATTTTGTGGGTATTTCTAAAAAAATCATAACTTTTGAGAGTCAGTAAACCTAAACAATGCCTAAATACCTAATGTGAGGATCTCCGTTCTAGAAACCAGAAACAGATAGATGCTTTTTGATACAAGCATAAAAACAGAGCCCTGTTTAGTTTTGACGAGTTTAGAATGTGGCATGCAACATGCAACATGCAACAAAAAGCCAATTACCGGTTTCCACGATTAGTAACAGGGACTAACACATGCCAACACAATACTTAAATCTTTTGTAAACATTCAATTAATTTGCACTGACGATCACAAAAATTTTACAAACCCCATTTGGATGTTTTCATTTAGATCGATATATAATATCTATCTGCATGTCAAATTTCAACCCGATCGATTAAACCGATCGCTTCGAAATTTGACATGCAGATAGATGTTATCATATAAGCATCCGCTAAGAAAGGATTTTGATCATTTCCACCCCTAAGGGGGTAAAATAGGGGATGAAAGTTTGTATGGGACTTTGTCAGTTTTAAACCGATCGGGTTGAAATTTGACATGCAGATAGATGTTATCATATAAGCATCCGCTAAGAAAGGATTTTGATCATTTCCACCCCTAAGGGGGTAAAATAGGGGGTGAAAGTTTATACGAAGCTTTGTCAGTTTTACACCGATGCCGATGAAATTCGGCATGCAGGTAGATGTTATGACGTAGGCATCCCCAAGTAAGGATTTTGATTATTTCCACCTCCAATGGGGTAATGTAGGGGATGAACGTTTGTATGAAGCTTTGTCAGTTTTACACCGATCGGGTTGAAATTCGGCGTGCAGATGGATATTATGACGTAAACGTCCCTTTAGAAAGGTTTTTGATCATTCTCACCCCAAAGTATGATACTTTGCCAGTTTTAAATTGATCGGGCTGAGACTTTGCATGCATAAATTTACTATGACATAGGTATCTCCTTAGAAAGGATTTTGATAAATTCCACCCCTAAGGGGATAAAATAGGGAATGAGAGTTTGTATAAATCTTCTTAGCCATTGAATTTAGAATCATTGAATCTTTTTGAATTACATTCGGTAAAACGATGATTTGGGACCTGGGTAACGTTGATAGTTTTTATCACAGATGTCCCACGGGAACGGGAACTATGCGTCAATGCCCCGGGACTGTCTAACTCTTAACCACTGAACTTATTTTAGAGAGATTCGGTACAACAATAGTCGATAGAATAGTTTTTATTACTCAAACCTTACGTGATCGGGCACTGTGCTGGTAAGATCCCTGCGGGATTATTTATTTATTGAAACTACGATAAATCATTTCAAAATAGGTAAATCTTACTCGGGCACTGAATTGATTCTGTCAGAAGTCATTAATCTACGCGGACGAAGTCGCGGGCAACAGCTAGTTTATTATAATGTGGGTTCCATATTTAAGAAGGATACTCGAGGCCACTTCTTACAAAATTTGAAATTTTGTCTTTGCTTGCTTCAAACACCCAGATATTCTCATGACAAAACCGAGCTTTCGCTTTCGAAGCCTTAACTATTATTTGATCAATATGGATATCGAACTGAAGTCTTGCATCATGATGAACACCAAGGTCACGCACTCCGTCACCCCTTCGCAGAAGCTGGCCTTTCAGCTCGGACGGACGAATCAACGGGAACCGGTTTCTACTAAAAGCAATCATAGAGCATTTTGCGGGATTCAACTACTAGTACTCATCCAGGCGCTTTGAGTCATCCTGGAGTACCAGCATATTCTCCACCGATGTTATTTTTAAGAAAATCTTCATGTCGTTAGCAAACTAAGAAGATTAGAACTATGGAAGCAGAGGTCGATGTCATTCACGTATAAGATGAAAAGCAGGGGGCCAATTAGAGATCCCTGCGGAACACCAGAGAGTACCAGATCGTACATGTGCTAGGGTATAAATGTTTGCTTGAAATACTCGTATACTTTGAGTGCATCTCCTACAAAACTTTTTAGAAGTGATTTAATGCATTCCTCCAATGATAAATTTCTATAAATAATCTCCCAATCAGTACTGAATAAATGTATGTTGGTTGCATCGAAGTCTCCCTCACTATAGAGAAAATTCGGTAAAATTTACGTCCATTAACAGGGCGGATGATACTTGTCTATAGGTGCTAGCCGCGAGGGGTACTAGGCATTCACAAACAGATATGGTATCATCAGTACATGTATAGAGAGTAGCCACTGGTTGGCAACTGAATCTACCAATGCATGCATCAGATATGGCTTCATTGTAACGCATACAGTATTAGTTAACAATAACAATAGCTACCGTTTCTGTACAAAATCAATTTTTATAACTTTACCAAATAACTTTACCGAGTGACTCGGCTTCGCGCGAGCTATTAGGCTATTGCCTAGGGCGCCAGGTTACAGGGGCGCCGCGACGCCGCGAGATGCGCGGGCCTATAACGTGACGGCGGCGCTAAAAGATAAGGGCAGTATGAGGTGCTTGCCTAGGGCCGTGCTAGGGCGCTCTCTAGGTTTAATCTCCCTCTGCTTCGCTCGCATGGTCAAATACAAAACTGATTATACCTGCACTTAAAGTTTACTTCCTCAGGAATCAAACTACTGTACTGCTATTTGTTAGTGAAAACCGTGAAAAATCCATTTCATACAGATAAATACGAAAGAGGAATGTCTGTAATACAAACACAGTCGTGTTCTACCAGGTGTATCGTAAAGGTATGTACTCAGTGCGTCTCCCTGAGCTCCGCTGTCGACCAACGTGTGCTCGTCTGATACTAGCGCCCGTAATACTTAACCCATTTCGAGTGCTATCGTCACAATCGCAATACCTGAACGAATGATGCGGGGGCGCAATAAAAGAGGTCAGCTGTTGGGGAAGTGTTTATTATGCTAGTCGATGAGGGCGGGGGCGCGGGGGGGGGGCGTGGTGGCTTACTGCTTGCTGGCGGCCTCGTGCACCTTCTTCTGTACCTCCTCGACGTGTTTGGAGAAGTTCTCGTACGCTTCCTTCAGCTTGGGCGCCAGCTTCTCATTGGTCTCTTCCACGTTGCTGGCCACCTCCTTGGCGAGCTTCTGCACCTCCTGCGACACAACACAAGTGTTCACTAATGCAGAACTGAACTACATGTTTGTTACATAATGTATACCAGTATCGGCCACATGTTACATCAACCAACACACACACACAGCTCCGCGAGTCGTTTATCTGCCGATGCGCATGATGTGGGCGCAGGTCGACACGTCGCGTGGCTCTCTGTTACTATAGCAGAGATAACAGTGTTCGCGAGCGCTGTCTATCGTCTACCTACACCTCTGCCTACCCTGCCCGTCAGACCACTATAGTACTACACTAGAATACACAAACTTGATCATACCGTGCGTCACCTGCCTCGGTAGTTGACTTAGATTTGATCCCTTGCTCAGGCAAAGTATTATTGGAATATTTCCAATTTCCAAATTCTCAAACTATGATATGACTCTTATTGACTAAAGTTCATCCTGTTCCTAATCCTGCTTCGAGCCGGAGCCCCAGCAGGCGGCACCCTGTTAGGTTGCCTGCAGCTCCGGGCACTAAAAATGCCTGCTGTTGTATTAACATTATGTATTGCTTTATATGCCTTTTCAAGTAGTTAGTTGAAATAGATTGTTATGTACGGGACGGTACCTGTGCGGTGTTCTGCACGGCGGCCTGCAGCTTGGTGCGGAGCTCGCCGGCCTGCCTCTCCACGTCGGGGTGTGACTTGCGGAGGTCCTCTGCCGTCTTCTCGAGGTTCTGGCGCGCCTGCTCCAGCGCGGTCTTGGCTTTGGCGTTGGCGTCGGTCATCTGTGTCGAACATAACTCACATCACTGCACTGACTGCACTACGCTGATACGTGTAGGCTAGCGCCGGGGACGCCGGGGACGCCGGGGACGCCGGGGACGCCGGGGCTATAGGTACTCACCGCACTCTGCAGGCTGCTGGACAGCGCGGACAGTTGCTGCAGCACGGAGTCGGAGCCATCCTTGATGGCCTTGTTCACTTCCTGCGTGTTCTTCGAGTTGGCGATCGAGTTCAGTTGTTCAGAGAAGGTCTTGTGGAACTCTGCAGCGTGCTTTTCGATGTCCTGCAGGAGAGTGTTGGCGGGCGGCGCGTCGCGGCGCACCATGGCGGCATGGCTCTGTGGACATTACGTTATATCAGCGCATTGCTGCAGCAGGCCCTATATTTGCAGGAGTCGGAGCTGACACTTACCAGCGCGATGCAAGCGACCAATACGAACAACTTGGCGACCATTGTGATGCTCTTCACTGACAGGAGGCGGAAACACTTCGAAACGTTTGCGGCTGCAACAGACAACGAATGTGGTGACTGCTCGAGTGTGGCTCGTTATATAGTGCTCGGACAGATAAGCGCTCGCGATAAGGGGCGGGCAATGCCGGGAGGCGAGCCACCCCGCACGGTAAAATTTTCCTGGGGCTGGTGTATCCTCGCCCCCGCGCCCCCGCGTCCCCGCGCCCCGGCCCTGCCCTATGCACCTTGCCTGTTTACAAACACGCAGCCATCCGGGTGCGCGCCGGTGACCGCGCCGCGATAGCGCTGCACTAGCGCCCTCACATGTCTAGGCCACTAGGCAGTAGGCTGCCACATTCCTCTACTTGCTAATCATGTACGAATAGGTATTGCATCAGGAAGCTGAACATCTTGGAAATTATCACTTTCATTTCAATATCACTATATTTGGGTTTTATAAATTCTTAAGTACTTAAATATGTTCTCATCGTTCGCTGTAAATGAGTCACAGTGATTATAATAACATAACAGATTCTAAAAAATTAAAAAGAGGTACTTTATGTAGAACTAGCTGTTCGCCGCGACTTCGTCCGCGTATAGTAATGATGACTTCTGGCAAATTTTGGATTTTTTAATTAGTCTTGTCCAAGATTAATTGCAATGTTGTGTAACCAAATATCATCAGAATCAATTTAGTTATATTTATTGTGAAGTGTTGTCTCATAATCTCGTTGAATCGAATTTCTATCAAATAGGTTCGATGGTTCATAAAATTAGTATTCAGCCTCATTGCATACCTGAATGTTGTATCACGATAATAATAAAAAAAATTGTATGGAGCATTTCGTAATTACTATCAAGAAACCTAAAATTAATATCATATTTGTCACCAGGAAAACATCGGGTACCAATTCTTATTTACCCTGTGGGGGAGAAGTATTCGAATGATTTCCCCCTCAAAAAAATATAGTCGTTTTTTTAAATAGGTATCTTGGATCCACAGACTCGTGTCCCATGTCCGTGCTCTTCATTTACAATTCTTTTTTATAGTCAATATTAATTGTTATTAAAATCTTCGTACTTAGTAGTCAGTAGTTAATATAGGCTAGAAGGAAACATTCCAATGTTTGTCTCGGTGGTCGCATCACGCATCACTCATCGACTGATTTCGATCATTCTTTGTTTGTTGTTTGTCTTGTCATTATGTCAGAAGGTCCTTGTAATAGAACATTTGGTAAACTGTATTTGGAAGTACTTTGACCATTAATTGAGCACGTCATTATTAATGATCGAAGCGTGTGAAGCAAAGATATTCGATACTTATATGTAGTAGGAGGTACCTGTAACTTAGTATTGCAATTACCTGCTTATAATTCTGTGCTTAGATACACGGCACGTACCAGTGAGTTCTTGTAGGTACTCATTGAGCGTGTCTTGTGTGTGCGTCTGTATCACGTCTGTATGTATGTATGTACGTGTGTAGGTACTTTTGGACTGTGTTGAGTTTGTATGAAAAGATTTTGCAATCTGTGCGTGGGTGTACTTCTCAACTTCAAGTTCATTTCATAGTCAAAATACCTGTTGAAACATTGACAATCGTGTAAAAAGTGTTTGTTACTGTTTGTCACTGAATGGCCCCAGTGGGCCGACCATATGTTTACTATGACAATAGTATCGGCTCGGCAGGCAGTGCCCGCGCCCCGCACTACCTGCAGCCCCGCACTACCTGCGCCACTACACGGCGGCGGGAGCCGCGCCATTGTCTGCTTGCGTCACTCCTGCTCATGCTTCGTGAATCAAATCAAGACCTGGCGAGCTTTGTCACACGACAGGTGCAACACTCGCGCAAACAACTGTCCCGAGTAATCCATGCGAGCCCAACCCTGCAAGTACAACATAGCTCGCCTCCGCCAGCCTCGGACTATGACTAATGCCACGAGGCCAGATTATCATTTACTTATCTCAAGTATTATCTCGCCTCTTTACTGAGTGACCATTTCCTAAAATATCACAAACATGATTCACCCGGAGCCCGGCACACTACTAGTAGGAGAGCCCAGGAAGGGATTTCGGTACTTACTCGAGCACACCAGATTAACATATGGGAATACCTAGAGTCATGTAGAGTGTACCCACCATTTGCCTGGCCTGACTAGGTGAAAATTTAAAATAATGTAACTAACCACAGTCAGTCTCGTCAGGTTAAGGGAACAGAGGTCTAGAGAATGCTAAAGAAAGTACATCTAAAAAATCTACCCATTTGAGCGTGACTTCTAAGAGTGAGAGTGTTTTAAAGGGGTCAGGATCATGGGTATAAACACCCAGCATCCAGCCCCAGCACGCCCACCGGCAGATTAAGGGTTTAGTATCCGAGACACACGGAGCCACACTATCAATATCTGACACGCTCGACCACTTGGACATAAGTTAGGTACGCGTAACAATTTCAAAGATGTATGGTTCCCCCTTCAAACAAGTTTACAAAATAATTATTTCTTTCTATCACCATATCTTCAAACTGCAGTATGTTCAAATCATGCTGCGTGGTCTCTCGTACTAGTCGTACTACAGTGAAGCAGGCGCTGCAAGGCGGTGCAGGGCCCGTCACGTGACGCCGCGCGCCGCCGCGTGATTACCTCACTGATCGCCAGCCGAGATGTGTGTGCTCGGAGACAAAGTTCAAAGCAATCACTAATCACTAATTACACATCGCTATGTCTCTCATTATTGTGTTTACCTATTTACTAACTATACACTAACTATCATAGAGACTAGATACCACATTACCACGCGCTAGCAAGACGCGACGGTCTGAGTTCTGCATCAGCGACCCCAGCAGGGAGTGTACCGCACACACTTCAGCACTTCAATTGCCCAGAAGATCTGAGAATTTTCATTCATTGAAAGTAGGCAATGCGAGTCTCGTCAGATTGGGCAGTTTACTGCTTTCATTTCACCTATGTACACAACTATCGAATAGCAAATGAAACAACCAGTCTTCTCTAATATCAAACAAAATCCTTTAGTAAGCAGATTGCTTCACTCAATCTCATCTCGCGAGATCTCGTCCATTTTGTTTTATAGGATAAGCCGGGGAACGAGCACTTGGTCTCCTGGTGGTACGCAATCGGCGCCGCCCATGGACACCCGAAACACCAGAGGTGGTACATTACCGGCATTTTGGGGATTAGGAATTTGAGGATTTTTGGCGATTCGGGAATTGGGGAGATTGCGGAGGGGAGTAATTGGGCCTCCGGTAACTTCACTCACACGATGAAACACAACGCAAGTGTTGTTTATCCATTATTCCATTCCATGTCCATTTTTTCGAGATTAAACCGAGATTAAACTAGCTAATCGACGACATCTCGCTAAAATGAGATCCCTTTTTGAACTGTTGTCTCTAATTGAACTTGGTAGAGAAGGTAACGGACGGTGCGGCGGCCGGACCAGGCCGGACGGCGCCGCGCGGCGAGGGATGACTGCGGCCGCACTTTGTATCAGTGTGCTTCATTACGAAGTAGTTCACAGGATGTATTGTGGAAGTTAAAGGAATGAAGAAAACATTATTTTATAGATCTCATATTATTATGCTTTTTTGTGGAATATTGTCGGATGACCAGGCGGTAAGCAACCGGAGGAATTACATGTACACCACATGTAACACCTGCAATTATGTTAGGGTAAATACGCTAAATGTCGGCCCCCTCGCGGTGCTTCTGTGGTTAGATCGCTCTGGCACCATGAACTTGCAACATTAGGATAGCCTCTGATGCGGTTTTTGATAGTTTGATAAATGTATTTCATGTTTATAGGCATAAGGTTGACATTTCTACTACCAGGAAAAAGTACTTAGGCTTAGATGCATCGAAAACGAAAAAGCTCTAAAGTCGGCCATTTACGGCCCATGGGTCGGTCGCGTTTTTCCCAAATGTCAGCCGGGTACTTATAGGGTGTTTTAAATTAAAACTGACAAACATTGTTAATATGATTTATTTTGGCAGGTTTTGTATGTATTTTTAAAGCAGATAGGCCAACAAACAGATTCTATTAAATCTAGCAGCAAATTCCAGAGAGCAATTTATATCATATATTCCCAAACCGTAATAAGCAGCAAAAATTGGTTTTAAATATTATCAACATCCTACTATTTGAACTTAACTCATTATAATAAAAATACAATAAATCTACTATATAAAAATAAGTCGGGTTTTCCTTCCTGACTCTATAACTCCAGAATGCACGAACCGATTTCCACGGTTTTGCATTCGTTGGAAAGGTCTCGGGCTCCGTGAGGTTAAAATATAAAACAAAAAAAATGTTTCTTTATCTTTTAATTACCAAACGAAATGTTACATAAAACGAAGCCATCTGGTGGCGAAACAGAGTTCGCCAGGTTTGCTAGTGTTTGATAAATTGATAAATATTTGACTTTGAGAAAATAATAAAAAGTAATTAGCCTGTATAGTGGCTCTCGAATTTTAGGCTGGTCGACATTACCTACGATCTTTAATGTTTCTAAAGCCGGCCCCTATTTTGTGTCCATTATTTCTCAAGATTTAACTAATATCTCCCCGGCCGGTACTTGGCGATTAAACGTAAAATAGATTTATTTGCCTATATGCGTTGCAAATTCTCCAATGGAATTACTATTATTTATTTACAATGGAATCACTACAATTGGATTTTATAAAACAGACTGCAGTTGATTTAAGTCGGCCATGGCCGAGAATACGGTTTTAACTCGAGGTTGGTATCCTATTGGCGGCCTCCTATTTTTTATTTAAAACAATATGTAAAATATTGGAAAAACTATTAATAATAACTACTACTAAAGATATAGTAAATATCACTTACTACTGGTAATAATATAAAGCTGAAAACAAAAAAGGAATGTCTTACCGTTTGCTCGATTCCCTACAAAATGGTTGAGTTGGGCGGTGCTGGGGTACGTGTCATGTTCGGGAACGGGCGCCGTCAACTGGGACTGGTCAGCTCCAGACTGTATCATTTTATTATCCTCAAGGTTATTTTCTTTTTCAGTCTCTTTGACTGGATTGTTCTCACACAATCGAACCAACAAAACTATGTAACTAGAGAATTGTATTGTAAACCTGTAAACCTGATTGAGAAAGAGTATCCTATGGAGTTTCTTGCTCGTTCTTCTCTATAGGAATGTACACGTTGGAATGAGCAACTAGCTTCACTTATAAATTTTTTTTTGTTGTTGATGTTCAAAAGTGCCGTCCTGGTCTAATTGAAATAAATGATTTTGACTTTTGTTCTAATATCAATCCCCGAAGTGTGGGTATTCACAGCCAGGTAAGGTACTTTAAATATGAAATTGATATTTTGACGGTGCAATCACTACTTACGCTCAGTCTGTGAAGAGTAAGTAACGTAATCGGATAGTAACGGTTTGTACATATGTAGTATGAACTATAAGGTTCCAATTAGGGTGGCATTTTACCACTTTATCAAGTTTTAAATGAACGCAAGCTGAAAATATGCAGACGGCCGAAGTTTGGGGGGGGGGGTATGGCGTATTTACCTACGCTTTATGCAGATAGTGCAATGAGGATTTCATCCATTTTGGGGACATAAATGGAGGACATGGGCCAAAAATATACAAAGCCATGGGCCAATAATGGTAGCTTAGTTGAAGGGTGACATGGGCAGCGAGGGAGCGCACAGACGGTGACCGCGCGACCCGGCGCGACCCGGCGCGACCCGGCGCGACCCGCGATACGGCGGCCTCGACCCGCGCGCTGATAGCGCCGCTACCTACTCGCACCGCGCGCACGATCTGCACACTTCAGCTGCTACATGTCCACGATGCTCTACAGCTTCTTACTGTCCACTATTTCACACGACATTTACTAAAATATTTCAGTGGAATTAATGCCAAGTGAGTGTAAAACGTAACGGCGAGGCTTTTGATCGGCAGTGGACGTCTTCAGGCTGATGTTGCTGAGTATAGAACCGCATAGAAGTATAGATAGA